AATTACGTCATATAACAAGTTGAAAATAAATTTATTCAAAGAGTTTAACATTTGGTTTTTTTTTTTCTAGATCAATTTTCACAATATGTATAAAACGTCTAGATATTTGCCAACGAACCTTTCTAACGAGGGCACTGTATCATTAACGATACATGTACACAATAAATAAATTATAACAATGATATATCAAATACTTTATATCGATGATATACTGTGTTTTTTTTCCCAATTATTGCTCAATATCCCTTCTAATCTTTAATTAAGTAAATAGTTTTGAATAGCAAAGTTTTAACACTTTCATAACGATAAGAATAGTAACTAATGTCCCTTTAATAATCATCGCAAACATCTGTTTCTAATAATGTAGCTAAGTATTATGCTATAATTGCAAGCTTATCATACAGAACGTTATTCTACAGGAGTGTGTCTCCCAAATCTGATTAGATTATAATATAGATTGTGAAGAATGTCGTACGTTCAGAAGATTATCATTCGTTAACAAATACGCTGCTTTTTGTTATGCTTCTTTTTTCTTGCATACTTTAAATTGTAGACAGGTTCCCAGTTTGTATTAAAAAAACATAATGCACAATCTTGTATTTTTCGATAAATCAAAGCTATATGGTATGTTTTCAGATGTCCTGTTTACTCATAATGTAGAATATAAACACATGATCTATGGATTTTATCGTTTTTGAATTAAGAGAAAATATTGTTTGTATCAATATTTCATTATTGTTTATATTCATCATAGTTATATTTTTATTTTTCTGACTATTGTGACTGTTCAACTTATCATTTGACATCTGTCTTTTTTTTCGCAATTTTAATTTCAACTTCATCGAATATTAAGCTATTATGGATCAATTGTACATAATTCCTGACATCTTCTAACCATGTGTTACATATAAAAATGAGAATGAAAATGGGGAATATGTCAAAGAGACAACAACCCGACCAAAGTGCAGACAACAGCCGAAGGCTACCAATAGGTCTTCAATGCAGAAAATCCCGCACCCGGAGGTGGTCCTCAGCTGGCTCCTAACTAAAATTGTGTGCTAGTTCAGTGAAAATGGACGTCACACTAAACTCCAAAACATATAAGTGAACTAAAATTAAAAAACATACTAGACTAACAAAGGCCAGAGGCTCCTGACTTGGGACAGGCGCAAAAATGCGGCCGGGTTAAACATGTTTTGTGTGATCTCAACCCTTCCCCTATACCTCTAGCCAATGTAGAATAAAGAAACAAAAAGCAATACGCACAGTTACATGTACATGTATTATTTCCATTTCTGTAGACATTAATTTATACTTGTTTGTTTTATATACACATTGAGGGCGTTAGTCTAAATGGGTGTATCTAATGTACACCAATATATATTGTCAATGCAGATTTGTAGTTGTCAATACTTTAAAGGAGGGATCTTTCTGCGATTCGACCATATATAATTGAAAAGCATGATAAATGTAGGATATCTAATTTCATTTAACAGTATCTTTGTTTTCAATGTATATGCAACTACACGTTCAAAGATCCAACTTCTATAGACATTTTAATATATCATTGTACATCCTGTATACGTTATTCAAAGGGTTTCATCAACTGTTTTTCTTTCTACCATTTTACATTCGAAAGAAATAGAAATAACATTAAACTAAAAAGGTAAAACAATGTTTATACCGATCTAGTGGTGTATGGTAAGTAGTTATAATAAATTTTAAACCTACATTCGGCACAATATGTACGAAACTCCTGGATTCATAACAAGGTATAAATACTCAATAGAAGACTGTCATAATAAATAAGTATGATACGGACGACACTTGCAATCTCATATTTCTAATGAAAACAAACAGGAAGCAGTATTATATACTGGGTAGATATCTATTATATATTAATACGGTTTTGTCGAAAGATATTCATATAATAACTATAAAACGAAAATGCTGTAAGACTGCCAATGAGACAACAGTTCACTATAGACCAAAATACGTAGAGGATAAGAACTAACAGTCAACGTATGGCCTTTAACGATGAGTCTTAAAAAAAATGTTTTGATCTACCCATGAATAAAAATAGATAAACAGGCAATGTCATTTAAGATTTAACTTCGTTTTTGTCGTTATTTTACGGAAGCGTAAAAGTCCCATACATTTGTTTTCTTATATGTCTCCTAATGTTTGCGTTATAATGCAAACCTTTGCGAAATAACACAAACAATTGCGTATAATGCGAACATTTGCGAACTAACGCAAACATTTGCGAAATAAGGCAAACCTGTGCGATATAACGCAAACATTATTTTTTCTTTCTATTTCTTATGTTAGATTTCAGGGAATAACCTGTTGTAAATAAAGAAAGGTACATGTATTAAAATTAACCACCCTGTGTACTTAATGCAAAGTAAAATGCCGAGTGTTATGCACATATCATTGCATAACAATGAGGAGAAGAATAAACCTTTATATATATATATATATATATATATATATAACTAGTATATATATTTGTTTAGGGGCCAGCTGAAGGACGCCTCCGGGTGCGGGAATTTCTCGCTGCATTGAAGACCTGTTGGTGACCTTCTGCTGTTTGTCTGTTCTATGGTCGGGTTGTTGTCTCTTTGACACATTCCCCATTTCCATTCTCAATTTTATATATATATATAATCTGGTAAGTATTGATTGATTGATTTTTCGTTGCTTAACGTCCAGCGAAAAATATTTAATGCATGTTTAGGACGAGAACAAGTTAACAATAAATACAATAGGCAGGTCTTGTATAAGTGGCCATCCAGGATGAAGGTCGGGGAAATTTGGACTGGCACTTTAAAATGAGAGTATTTTGGATAGGGACAGAAATTTTGCCTTGCAACAGGCCACCTACGGACCCCTCAACGAGTTGTTTTAAGGGTTCTTAACTTACTGATAGCGTTACACTCTCTTTACATGAGGCATCAGACTTAACGTCCCCATTCTGACTGGATGTGACTGCAAATACGTACATCCCGCACAGCCAAAAGGACTTTGTCAAGCTTTTTACTGCCGGTCGAAAGAAGACTACGTGACCATACTTCTATCCCCCATTCACCCTTTGGGGTCCCTGTTAATGTAGCCGAAAAAAAAACACTTCCAAAGTAAGCGCTTGTTTGAGCATTGTGAAAGATTGGTTAGATCTTTACAAACTACCATATTGAAATAAATGTATAATATGACGATTTCTTATTATCATAATTATGTAGTCTATAATAATTTTCTACGCAAGCATCTTAAATAATCATTGTCAATTAAAGAAACTTTATCATATACTGAAATTCGATAAACGATTTCGTAAAACAGCACTATTTTTTTTTTCTTCTTCAAAGTAAATCATTTTGAAGCCGAAAGATCGTTTTGTCTACTTGACTCGAGAGTTTCGCGATTGTATGAACTTTTTTGTTAATTGCTCTTCCCTACTTTGCCACTTCCCTGTAAATTAAAATTATCGAAAGCGTAGTCTTTCAATTAAAATTGTTCTATTCCATATCAATTTTCACGTTATATTTATATAATTTTCTGATACAAAAATATTTCTTAATTTGTGTATAATTGTGATACAAGTATTCCTTTATTCTTATGTATATTTATTATAATGAGTTTGTCTGATTTTTATGCTCTCTTTCTTAACTAAATCACAAACAGGCAGACGGACATGCAAATGAAGATATTTACAAAACACCACTTTCAAATTAAATAAAAACCATAAAATTTAAATTCAATAAAAAAGTTTTTAATTATAAAATATTCAAAACTTAATGAATCATTTAACGTGTGCGTAATATAGCAATTGTTTCGTTAAAAATATGTACAAATGTGTGTTATTAAAACAAATACTCCTTTTTACAACATAAATTTTCTACAATCGTTTCTTTTGTAAACAGTAACTTTTGTGGTTGAATCATACCAATATGAGTTGTTATTACATGTCGTACACGCTACATATCTTGACAGCAGTGATGAAAATAAACCATGATGCATCGTTATGCACTTAAATGCCGTATCTTACGATTTAATCTTATCATAATTATCCGATCATGGAAGTAGTTTATTGACAATATAATACTTCCATGATCCAATTAATAGTACCTAAATCAACAAAAGAACACTGTAAAATATTTAAAAAATAATTCTAAAATTAAAAGAAATATAAAGTTTCTACACGCGGTAAAGAAAATATCGCTATTTACAAAATTAAGATCAGACATATGATTTTAGTTGTTAAATAATTTTGTTATTTGGCATTATTTTAGTTAACAAATACATCGTTATGCATTAAATAAACTTTGATAGATAATATTTTATTTGGTGTTTTGATATTTTATTGTTTCAACATGCATATGACAACAGACAATTGTTTATATAAACCTTTAAAATTTATTTCAAGTATATTCATTTCAAACGTCTTAAACTAGATAATTCAAGATTTCAACAATGAAAATGAAATATGCAGCTGTAAATCACATGCAAATTAGATTAGAAATATAACAAAAACACATCTTCAACCTTAGATTAGCAATAAAAAGATCGATTTATCAAAGAACTATAACCGCAAGTTGTATTTTAAACCGATACTAGTTGTCTCCCTTTGTTAAATTATTTACAACAAACAAAGAGGGTGGTGTCGGGAGAATTGAAGGCGTGTCGATGAAAATCTGACAGTTGTTCATTATGACCTGGTATAAACGCCACTCAAAAATAACTTTTTTTTTCTAGAAATTTCCCAAAATTAGTCACGGGGCCCAAAAAACGACCGAAAAAAATATTTAAAATTATAAAATTTTTCTTATCTTATGTATTTCCATAACTTTATGAATTACGAAATCCCATAATATAGTTACAAAATTAGCCGATTATCTAATATTATGAAGTTTCATAATAATGTGTTAAATTAGGATATTTCATAATATTATGCAATTTCCTATTTGCCTCGACTGTTCTACTTCATACGTATTTCTTTTTAGAACCAAAAAATGGGGATTGCCCTAAAGATCCGAGACCACGAAATTGTACTCTTAGACCGTCTGAATGTAATTTAGATGGTCAATGTGATGGACGACGGAAATGCTGCAAATTTGGATGTCGAAAATATTGTGTGGACGCTGAAGATCAACATGAAGTTATTGTAATTAAAAACGTTTAAAATTAAAATTTCCTTAATTTTAGCTTGAAGTATGTATCTATTTTTGTACTTCAAACTGCTATATATATTAAACTTAATTTAAATATATATTTGACTATCAATTCCTGATAATCAACAGAACTTCCAAAGTATGCGCTTTTACCTGACTACAGTAAGTGGCTAAAAATATACATTTGCTGGAAGGGGGTAATTTGAGTGCACATTTTTACTGGAAGCAATACACATCAAAATATAACGGAAATATGTCATGTAATACATGCATTAATGGTTGGCGCCTCTTAAAACGTTTAAACCCGCTGCATTTGTTTGCACCTGTCCTAAGTCAGGAACCTGTTGTTCAGTGGTTGTCGTTTGTTGATGTGGTTCCTAAGTGTTTTTCGTTTCTCGCTTTTTATATAGATTGGACCGTTGGTTTTCCTGTTTGAATTGTTGTACACTAGTCTTTTTGGGGACCTTTTTAGCTTGCTGTTCGGTGTGAGCCAAGGCTTCGTGTTGAAGGCACATGACCTATAATTGTTAACTGTTTACACATTGTGACTTGGATGGAGAGTTGTTTCATTTGCACTCATACCACATCTTCTTATTTCTAATTAATGTATGAACATTCATGTATGCACTTTTTTATGTTTTCGATTGATTTATAAAATCACAACGGTTAGAGCTAAACAAATGAATTAACCAAGACACATTTAATTGTACTTGGTCAAAATTATGAACCTCGTTAGTTGTTTGTTACTATTTAATCTAAATATAAATTTCAAGGCATCAACGCAGGTGCATACATGTATTAAAGTTATTACATAATTGTGTGACGGTCAAATGATTGTTTACTTTAAACACTTTTTTGTGTTTATAATGAGCACATGTTTTGTTTTTATGTTAGTTATGATTGGATGGCATAAACCCACAATGCTACTGGTATATTTACCTCGTTAAAGTCGTGAAAAGCATAATTAAGTATTAGTTATTGATGCAATCGACGTAATTGGAAGTCTGCCAATGAGTTTACGTAGCAGCAGTTCGTAATCATCTTTAACCTCCAGTTCTCCCTGTTTGAGTAGTTTATTGTTTACGTGAGAATATATTAGTGTCAAGAAATATGCATTTAACTCTTTTGTAGATTTTGATTGTGCGTATACTTTATGTGCCAGAATAATTAGTAGTACATGCCTAATTCAGTAAATGCCATTAGTGTGATGAATATTTATTGTAATATACATATAAAATGCTGCTACACCTGTAGACACACATATCGTATTCATGTGTTGGTTTATTTATCAACTAATTTATAATCGTTCAGCTGAACGAATTAAACAATAAATGGAATACATATATCCCAGTTATAACAATATTCCAGAGATTTCATTTTCTAACATGATTTCCTTGATTGAAAATTGAGGCTCAAAGGAAAGTATCAATTTCGAACATTTTAAATTGAAGCCATCCCTTCTAATATGTTATTTACGCCTTTATAATTGAACGTTAATTGTAAATCATTTCAAATTAAGAAATATAATCCCTTATATACTAGTCAACAAAAGAAACGATACAAGGCAATGTATTTTCCATATATAATGAAATCGGATACACTGTACCAAAGTAAATAATTGCCCAATTGACCTAATATTTACAGAGTTTTATTTTCTTATCAAAACCATTGTTTTAAGACAAATACGCGAATTTTTTGTTGCAATTTTTGTTATTTCAAAAATTGTATTTTCTCCAAAAAATTCAAAAATCGATATTAGAACCTAAAACTTTAAACATAAACATGGTCTGCTTAAAATTTTGAATGCCTTTGCAGATATTTGAATACTTAATTCTCATCTTCGAAATCAAGTGCAAACTTTTGTCATCATTTTCCGCAAAATAAATATGACCCCTATGTGCAATAACACGGTATTTTCTCACTTTCCGATTTGGTAAGATCCTTTTAATTATATGCATTTGCTTTGCAAAAAGTAAAATCACAAAAATACTGAACTCCGAGGAAAATTCAATCGGAAAGTCCCTAATCACATGGCAAAATCAAATGACAAAACACATCAAACGAATGGACAACAACTGTCATATTCCTGACTTGGTACAGGCATTTTCAAATGTAGAAAATGGTGGATTGAACCTGGTTGATGAATGTTTCTTATTGAATAATTTAATAGTTTTTCATATTTATTATATTTTATAATAAATGAGACTTCAAACTTGTGTATCGTTACTTTTGTTGACTAGTATACAAAGCTCAATGAAAAAAAAGGGACCTTAAACAACAACCTAATTCCTCCAAGTTTAACTTTGCCTGACGTATTTGTTATCTTTAAAAAATCATAATACTACAAAATCATTGTAGAGAAATTTTCCGTCTTTGGCTATACGTTTGGTCTTTTTAGGTTTTGTCATCTCATCGATGTGGTTTTGCAAAACGTTTGGCCCGAGAATCGATGAAGAGACAGTTATTGTTGAAATGTGCATCTGGTGCAGTACAATTTAGTATCATTTATGTTATTACTACCACTGGGTAGATACATCTACTGGTGGACGATATTGCGATGAAAATACGGCTATTGTTTGATATGAGTTTGCTGTTATAAAATATTTCAAATAGTTTGGCCTTGATAATCAATGAATAGACATTAATTTTCGAAATATGCATATGGTGTATTACAATTTTGTACCGTTAATGTTAAAACTAAATCTGGATCGATACCTGTGATGGTAGACTGACAATTCACGAGGTTATCATCAGCCCAGTAAACAGTACTTCGGTACTGCCATGAAAATTCTTACATTGTTGAAACGAAATTAACTGTCATATAAATTTGGATTTAATTTGATATAAAGAAATATATCCATCTCCTGAAAAGGTCTGTGTCCGTATATGGTGGATACTTTTTGTCCATTTTGTTTTGATCAGCTTTTCAAACTTTTTGTTTTTCAAACAATTTCGACTCGATCATCACTGAAGAGACATTTATTTTAGAAGAGCACATCTGGTGCAGTTAAAGTTGATATCATTGAAGTTATTACTACCATTTGGTCACTACCTTTGCTGGTGGACAGTAAATCTAATATGGTTTCACCAGCCCAATATTAAGTACTTCAGTTCTGTCATGAAATTAGGGATAATGTTTGTATGAAATTTTCTGTAATGAAATTTTGGTATTATGTTTTAATCAAGAAATATATCTCATCGTGTCCGTATTTGGTCTATGAATGTGGTATTTTTATGTTTGATCAGCTCTTCAACGTTTCTATTATGTTTGATTGTTGAAATAGTTTGGCCTCAAGAATCAGTGAAGAGACATTTATTGTCGAAATACACACAGTCATATAGTGCAGTACAATTTGGTATTAATGTTATTACAGCAGTAGCTGCAACTTGATCGATACCTCTGCTTATGGACTGACAGGCCACGAGGGTATCATCAGCTTATTAGCCCGTTCTTCGGTCTTTCTATGGCAATACGGATATTTTTTAATTGACATTTGCTGATACAAAATGTTGGAAAGCTCTGATTCCTAGTTCGCATTTTGCCATATTTTTGGTCCTTTTGTGTTATATCAGCTCTTTTAAAGTTTGTATAAATTTTTTTTTTTAAATATTTTGACCTCGAGCATTACTGAAAAGTCCTTTTTATTAGAAATGAGCATCTGGTGCAGACAACTTTGCCACCGTTAATGATATTACAGATGATCAAATCGCATTAATCGATTACGACGATACATGGTCATCGAAGATCAAGGTTACACACAATAACTTAGGGAATTACATGAACTCCTAAAGAGCAAGAACGGAGTTTTGACAGAATAAACGTCACCTGTCATGCATGTATCGCCCGCCATATCAAATACACACTGTCAAAATATCACAATCAGTAACTTTATAGACCAGACGACTATACATGTGTCCCAGATGTCCCCGGATATAATTCGTTCTTTGTGACAACAACCCCGTCCTTTTTTTTTTCTTTTACTGTGACATTACTGATTGTGACATTACTGCTTTGACGTTATCGATAGTGACGTTTCTGATTGCGACTTATCACTAGAACATGTAGAAGTGTACTTCATGAGCATCAAGATATGAAACGAAACCTGTTCATACTTACGGGAGCACCTGATTATGACTGCACATCAGGTTTTTGATGAGGTTCGTGTTTTATAGTCAGCATTCCTTTTGTTTTGTGTCTCATCATTGTTTTTGTGTTTGGCCCTAATGTTGTCTGTTTTTATTAGACTTTTGAATTTCGATTGTTCCTTTTGATTTCTTTCATCCTTAACAATAAACACGTGTCTAAAATAATATACTAGCTCCAAGTATATCGAGTGTAGGAATAGAGAATTAAAAAAAACTGCCATCAAACCGAATTTTTAGAATTATAAAAAGCATTCAGGAACAAAAAATTAAAACGGTCGACTTTGGATAGACAAATGATCATGTGAAACGAAATTTTACAATACATTTGAGGTATAAATAACTCAACTTCAATATCATTGCAGCATCTGTAATTTCTAAAGTACAAAACGTAAAAAAAATATTGCTTATATGTCATTATCATGATGTAATAAATCTAAAGAAACTGCTTTTAAAGTGTTTCCTACTGTTACCTACGTAAAACATTTGTCAACTATTGAAAATGCACTAATGTGCTGCTTATTGCAAAATATACCGGAGGGACATTCAAACACATATGTCGAAAATAAACTGACAACGACATGACTAAAAAAAGACCAACAGACAAACAATAACACACAAAACACAACATAGAAAACTAAAGACCGAGCAACATGAACCCCACCAAATATTGGGGAAGTCCCAGGTGCTCCGGAACGGTAAGCAGATCCTGCTCCACATGTGGCACCCGCCGTGTTGCTCATGTTAGTACAAACCCGGTTATAAATCTAATTCGGTAGGGCACATTCGGGAAAAGGGGACGGAATGTAGTTACGACATTAGGAACATATCCGCTATCATCTGTTAAACGGATGTTCCATAACGGTCAACCAACTCGTGATGGCCTCCGTAAAACTTACGAAGGGATGATTTTAACTTCACCGCTTGAAACTCTTGGTTTAATAGCTTCCTTGTGAACAGCAACCCTATTACCAAGGAAATCATGATAGGTAATACAAGACCTGGAATAGCTGATCAATTGGGAGATATATACCCCGAATGCAGGCGCCGCTGGAATGTTGCTACATAGAAATGGAAAGTTCACAATTGGGAAGCTGACATTATCTCTTTTGTTGTAAGGTTTTGTTATCAACCGACCCCCATTGTCAATTCCTAGATGTAAGTCAAGATAAGAGGCAGACTTAACTGTATCTGTTGTATCCTTTTTCTCAAGTTTGATGGGATAGACATGATAGATGCGTTCTACATGGTCACCAAATTTTAACCTTAAAAAAATAGAACCATTCTAAGTTCCAGGGTTATCAACGTTGAATCTAAATAATTAGATAAAAAACGGTAAAATTAGGATTTCTTGAGTAAGTTAAAGGAAACCAATCTCTTCAAACTTCCATATTTGTATCTATGGAAAGAGCGGCCACTTTAAAACGTTTGAATGTTACAGGTTTACTCATCTGTTAATCATAGGTTGAACAATATAAAAAATTAGCAAGACAAAAATAATAGGGACACATAATCATGATAATTGAATAGCTAATAGATAAAGCGTAATCACTCCCATTTCCTTCAATTTGTGAAACATGTGATTCCATTACAAGTTTAGAAGTAATAAAAAATAACAGGAGTGCAAGACTAAATTTCATAGACATTATCTAGTAATATTTCCACGACTTTCACAAGTTCCATAAAAGACTGTATACACTGGGTTTTGATATACATGTCTTATTGTTCTTGCTTTTGGAATTATTACACATTATTGACTTATGAGCATGCATACCGTATTTCATTTCGGTAAATACATGAACTGATAGTTGAAAATAAATCAGGAAATATTCTAATATTAAAAAGCTTTTCTTTTTAAATCCTACAACAGTATAAGAAATGTGTTTGAATTTTCGTACGTAATATGATGATAGGATAGAAAATCGCAGAAATTTATTGTAACCAACGCCCAAAGGACTTATTTTCCTGAATTCATGTTCATAAGAAAAAGATCGATTCATTGATAAGTATTTAAACTCATATACATATATATTGTTCTTCCTTTACGTTATTGCGATCTATAACTTGTACACCAACTGCCACCAAGCGAATATTTCCTAATTTTCTTTTATTTTCAAGTAAAAAGGTGATTTATCTAGTATTTTGCTATTGTTTAATTAATAATAAAGAAGATTAGAGACTGTATGTACTTTAATAAATATACATATATTTAAAAAGGCACATGTTGCAAATCAGCTTATTTGTACTTTAGTAGTCCAATTTACATTTTGTATAGACTAGTGCATGTTGTAGTGTATTTATTTTGAATAAATAGTGTGTTTTTTTCATAAACAGGATGTTCATAAGTGTTCAACTGATTATTGTTTTCCTCGTTTTGGTAAGTTTGCTCTATTTTCATTAACAAATGTGCAAATATGTAACTTTATATTATATAGCCGGTTGTGAATTTTCATAGGATGTAAATAAGGTATATAGACAGGCAGCATTAACTCTATACATAAAAAAAAACATTTAAATGCATATGATAACGGGTAGTTTTCAGTAATGTTCGAACACTCTATGAGTGTGATTCGTCGCTTTTGGGAAAAAATATGTCAAGTAACTTTCTATCTTAAACATGTTTTGCATTGATGTCTTAATTATAAACTCTTTCAACATTCCTGTATTTCATTCCAAGAAACCATGAAAAAACAAATACATAATCAATGTAAGTCATGAATAGTAGTAAATATCATTTCTCTGAGTCATTTCTTCACCTGAACAAATGTTGAATTATAATTGTTTGTATTTTGGCCTTTGCGAATAAAATGACTCTTATGTTTTCTTGAAATGAAAAGTAGAATGCATTTTCATTATAAAAGAATGAAGAAATATCCCTAACCAAACTTCAAACCAGCGTGTTTCAATGCTGAAATTACTAATATAACTTAGTAAATCATATCTAAGTAAATAAAAAGATAGCATGGTACAGACTGTGCCAGTTCACCAGCAATATAATCTTATGTTTTGGAATAAAAATAAAACATTCAACTTATACTTCATTTATAGATAATAAAAAAAGAAACAACAAAAAAAACAATTGTATACACAAATCTACAAGCACACATTGTATCGTCAATATTTTCTTAGTTTGGATTCAAGAGTTTGTTAACCATTTTCTGATTGTATGTTAGATTTTTAAATGAAGCAATAGATACTATGAGATAAAGTCTGCTTCAGAACTGGCAATCATTTTAAAAATTAAATTAACACTTTTTAACGCCCCAAGCGCTTTTCTTAATTTACTTTTATCAAGAACGTTCAAAGTCAAGTATTTGATGTAAAAGTACCAACACATTTAAGAGATATATGAAAAAAGGACCTTAAACAACAACCTAATTCCTCCAAGTTTAACTTTGCCTGACGGATTTGTTATCTTTAAAAAATCATAATACTACAAAATCATTGTAGAGAAATTCATGCTTGAAGATTTATGAAGCCTGGTATCTACGGTGGGTTTATTATATATTCTATATAATATCACACAAAGAAATTAAATATCTAATCAACCACTATATTAATCAACAAATTACTCTCATTGAATGAATAAAAAGAAAATAACAAAAATACCGAACTCCAAGGAAAATTCAAAACAGAAAGTCCCTTATCAAATGGCAAAATTAAAAGCTCAAACACATCAAACGAATGGAAAACAACTGTCATATGCCTGTCTTGGTACAGGTATTCCCTGATGTAGAAACTGGTGGATTAAACCTGGTTTTAAAGCTAGCTCATCCCCTCACTTGTATGACAGCATAAAATTCCATTATATTGACAACAATGTATGACCAATACAAATAGACATGATAAGTAAAAATGTCAAAAATTGAAAATTTATAGGTCATGCCTTATGACTTAATGTGTATTCGATCATTGTAGGTAGTTAGTGTAATATCGAGGGATAATATTTGCGACCAACCGAAAGTTGCTGGACCATGTCGTGCGAGCTTAAAACGATTTCATTATGACGTAAAGACTGGTCGGTGTAAAATGTTTGTCTATGGTGGTTGTGATGGCAACGATAACAATTTCAAAACGAGACAAGACTGTTTTGCTACCTGCAAGATACGAGGTAAATTGTATTTAATACGCTAGATAAAGTTCCTCAAATGCGAAGCACTTTTTTATATAAAAGTACGGTTAATATATACCAAGACATACTAGTATTTTTGCCAACATAAAGGTAATGCCGGATACTGATTTACCCTTATCTATAATATAACCATATGATTTGTTCCTTTCTATTGATGTGCAGCAACACATTTAAAACCATTATATAAAAGTTAACTAAGGTTAAGGCAATAAGTATTGTTGAATTTGTCTAGAAGTATTTTTTAAAGATAATATTATTGCTAAATGGTTAAGGTAACATTAAATGATTTTCTCAACTCTCCACAAAGCGTTTTTATTGTTCACCAAGCTTTAGTTATCGGTATATGTTAATTGGTTGTTCTATATTTGTGGTTAAGCTAGCTACAAAACTGGTTTAAACCATCATTATTTTTTTCGGAAAATGCCGGTACCAAGGCAGGAACATGGCAGTTGTTTTTTATTTGTTCTGTTGATTGAAAGCGTTTAATTTTGTCAGATTTTATAGACTTCCCCTTTCTGAATTTGCCTTGTGGTATTTTTGCTATATTTTTTTATGTTTGCAAATTTTTTTATTTATTTTTTACTTATAACCCTACTCTATGACGATGGCGTCATATGGTAGAAAGTTAATTCGTCCGTTTGTTTCTGATGCAGGTGTCATACAGTGGAGGTTGGATCCTTTTATTTGGTCGTTCGTCCATTTGATCTTCCTTCCCAACATAATGTCCCTGTACTTTTGCATCTTTATCTGATTGATTTTTCTGTTATAAGATGATTTTCGTTCATATCCTTGCACTTCAATACACATGTCATGTCTCCACTTAAATTCCTATGCAGAATATATACAACTTTCATATAAGTCTGACCATTGTCCACCTTCTTTTTTATCTGCGTGGTGAATAAGGGTTTGAATAAGCAAACTATGATTATTACTTTTTTCTGGGGGAGGGAGTGACTATCATGTATCCGCAAGTTATCCTAAACCACTTTGAATGTACTTTATATTTACAAAATGTTACCATGTATATCATTGTGCATTTTATGTTCTATGTCTTGTCTTAACTTATTTGCAAATCATAGGCGTTGTCGCTGCTTTTATATGCTATGGAGTAGTGTTTATGATATTTTTCAGAGTACCTTTACCTTTTATCTGTGCATTTTTGAAGCTAGGAAGTATGTAGTTCTTAAATTTTAGTTTCCTTTTGCCACATTTTTATGACAAACTTTTCCATTAATTCCACCACTACATCAGACAACTTGTGTTATTACTTGAATGTTTTGTATTTTCTGATTCATCAATGATATATGAATTCTCCACGTTTAAGTGAATTTGTTAAAGGTTTGTTTTTCACAAAGCGCAATCTATTTGATTCGAGTATTTATTACGAAAGAAGTAGTTCAATATATGTTAATACATTAATACTTCCTTTGACTGATCGACGAACTGAACCATTACTGCTACATTCACTTTTATTTAGTCTGCGAGAAAACGACAAAAGGAAAATATTTATCCATTGTTATTTTTTAATAGTTCAATTTAATACGTTTAAGCTTGTTTAAACGCTTCCAAATTTGTTACGCTAAAAATAAGGCAGATCACCGCCGATTTATTTGTAGCTTTAATGCAATGATTTCGTAGCGTCAAATTTCTTTGCTAATTTGTTTATGAGATTAAAACCGCGCAAACTACTGTTTCCTTAATCTATATATTCATTGAAATTTATAGATGTCGATGGTATTAAAGTATAACACTCCCGACCATTGATTTAATCGATATATTTTTTTCATTTTCAGTTTGTACACTACCAAAGTTGAGTGGGACAGGTCAACTGTCTATTACAAGATGGTTTTACAATGTTGAAAATATGCAGTGTGAAAAGTTTATATATAGCGGAAGACAAGGCAACAAGAATAATTTTAGAAACAAAAGGAAATGTGAACGGCTATGTCAGGGCATCAGTAAGTAAAATGGGATATATTAATTTGTCTATTGACTAATTGATTCCTTGTTATTGCTAAATACTCAGTAACAAATAGTGCATGTGTATTTTTGACTGGGATGAAAAATGGATTTCGACTGCAACAGGAATACGGGTTTTGTTAAAAATAGTAGACAAATTACTCTTTAATTATTCCAATGGACAGCAAACAAACCGCTTTTAAACATGTTAAAGTTTTGGCAAAAATTCATTATCGTTTTATCGTTCATACACATTGGACTCTTTCTAATCGAGACATCGTGTTCATTATACTAATTTCTACCGGACAAGGAAACATGAAAACAAATATGTGTTTACCAATTAAATCAAGACAGATAATTTTTTGAAAACCCCTAATATTTTTTTTTTTTTTTTTGTATCGTCAGTCACTACAATATCACGGAATTATATAATGAAAATAACGGATTCGTGCCAAAATGTAAACTAGGATTCAAATTCGATTGCGGGTAATTTACGGTTTACTGATCAGTGAGAGGAAAAAAGAACGTTTACAACTCATGCATTTCAAAGCATTGCTAAGGAGGAACCTGTGTTTGACTGTGCGTGAAGTATGAATATGGTCAAGAAATTGTGTCGAATTTTTTGAATTTACATGCTGTATTCTTTCTCAGATAGCCCGGTAAAATGTATCAGGAGTAGGCTTTTTATTAAGCATAGACACGTGCAAATGTTGATAGATTTCGTACTGGGTAGACACACAAGCGCTGATTGCTACAGCTGTAGTTTTATTTCAGGAGATAATTCAACTTTTGTAAAAAAGTGGTCGAAAACCGGTAGGAGTATATTGTAAAGTATCATTTGAAAAATCAGCATACAAATAAATAAATATTATCCAGTATACCCTCATTTTCCCGTGGCAGTCAAAATTTCCTAGACTTTCATCCCGGACGACCTCTATTGCAGAGCCTACATTGTACCCATTGTATGTATTGTTAACTTGTTCTTGCCCGGAACACGCATGCAATATTTGGACGTTAAGCAACCAACAATCAATCAGTAGAAAAAGAAACTAGACAGGTAATTGTTATTCTAATTAAAACAAATGGCTTAAAATATTGAGCGGAAAACTAGTGCTTATTCATGTGTGTATTTTTACATTTGTGTTTTCTAAAGCAATCACATATCCAGTTGCTATTGTCATTATGGAAATTATGTAATAGACAGATGTTACTTCGAAATTGATTTCATCGGCACAACTTGTGAATAACTCAGTACAAACTTATTCAATCTTTCTGTGCAAATGAGAGACAATTGCTATTATTTAGTTTAATCAATCTGTGATCAGATGAAAAACTTGTAATGTTGGTTTTGACAAGGCATATTGAAGAACGGTTTTACTATAAACATGATATACATGTAACTTTGATTTTGGATGATAAAATACTTACTACTGAGTCGATATATTGGTTTATGAAACAGATGTTATATTGATACTAACATTTGTAGAGAAAGATTCATGTGGGCCACCCCGAGATTGCGCTCGACCTCCACCAGGTACTTGCGTAGAATCCATATATGAAATCATCAATGGAGAGAAATGTTTCGCTGGGTGCACATATCCAAGGTGTAAAAAGGTAAGGTAATACTTATGTTTCTTGGATTTATTGTTAAACTGGTAAAGAAAATAGTGTTCTGAACTGGCGTTAGTATATGAAAAAAATGCATGAACCACAGTTCATAGTCTACATAAATGTACCGCATACAATTTAGTATGCACCTTTAATTTAACATTTTAAACGATCAAACTTGGAGAATCCGCTGTTTGTAACCATTTATAGAATTACTAATCTTGTTTAGGCTTGAAGATCGTATGTTGACTTCAAGCATTATTTTTTCACTGTATGACTGGGCCTCTGTCTCATTAAAAATCAAATCAATATCATTAATGCATAACTATAGTGGAATTCTAGTTATTCACATGTTGCAAAACAGCTGTCATTTTAATTGTAATAGCAAATAGCCTGATTGTTGTTTAACTCCTGATCAAGACGACATGAAGTAAAATGTTGAGAAGTAGATCAGAAACTTTTTACAATAGCGTCATTGTTAATCTTAATTTAAAGGTACATATTATTGACATCGATCTGATAAAAAAAACATATCTTGCTTAAAAACAACCCAAACCTAAGCGTGCAGGGTCTGTGTTTCAATCATATACGATTTTTACAAGGTAATACAACTCAATTAATCAAAATATTTTGGACTTGTACGAAGTGGGACGGCGATTGGCCGTTTTAAAATCTAAAGGACTATGGGTAATTTTATTGGTTGTACCCCAAAATGAAAATAACACCACGTTATCGTATAAATTTCCATTGTTTTGAACAATTTGCACCAATCACGACGTTTTGGTGTAAACTTTGGAAAATATTACCCAGAATGTATTATATTAAAAAACGGCGAATTGTATTGCAACAATTATTAATTGAATTAATTGAACTAATTGGATATTTTGTAGAGGCAAACTCTTGAACATTAGGAATGTCGTCTTTGCTACGCGATACTTAAAGTGTTGTGTAGCGATGTCACCGTTTTTTATGTAGATTATATTTTGATAATAGAATTCGCCATTTTAATATATAATACGCATGGTACATTTAACGTTTCGCATGTTTGAAATACAAATTTCACAAATCTCAAAGTGTAAGGAAAATAACTATTGACATGTAAGCGTACAGTAGATAATGTATGTAGTAGCTCTTTTAAAATTCTGTGAAGCCAAAACTTCAAAAATGTATAAGGTCTTTATGTGGTGACAAAGACTCGTTTTTGATATGACACAGGGCGTAGACCGATAAAATTGCTGTACTTCGTGGGTTCTTACAATCTGCATTCATTTTTAGATTTAAAAAAAAAGAATGTCACACAATGGTACAGTCTTGTAAAGAAAAGAGTCAGCAACTTTGATATGTCTTTAATGCTTAATATTTGACATTTTACTCAAACACATAAGTATTTTAGTAAAAATAGCTTTAAATTCTATATTTCGTAAAATAGAAAAATGTGTATTTAAGAAGATTATGAACAATGTATACAAAGTTGAATTTATGTAACAAAAACAAGTCTGATTTCCATAAGCAAATATAATTACTGTAACTGGTAATACAACAGCAGATGTTTACTTCAGTTTATGGATAAGAATATCAATATTCACCATAACATTCCCTTTAGTCTGGCATTTAGAAATAAATGTAAGTTCTGTATAGAGTAAATAAAGTTTATCATGTTTGTGTGCACTTTAAATATCATTTGAATTTGGTTAATTTTATTGTATAAAAGGGGGTATTCCAATGTGCTTTTTAGTCGAATGATTAAATATATACTTTTAAAAAAACAGGTAAGACATCCCATGGCAATATGTAAGTTGTTTAAATCTCAGCTTCTGCAGAGTTTTGTGTGTGTGTATATTATGTAAAAACCGTGTTTGTTCGTCTATAACTTTCATTTTACATTAATCAGATTCTTTATTCCGGAATGATTTGAAATTTTGATTGAAATTGTACAGACTGATTGATTGATTGGTGTTAATAGCCCTTTTTGGTCAGTTTTTCTTGGTAAAGAATGCTGAAATGTTCAGAGAAAAATACTGACATATTTGGTATGAAAACTAACAATCCTGGTCAATAAAGATTAGAGTTGAATGCACCTGCCGCGTGCAGGATTCGAACTCTCAACCTCAGTATTGACAGACTAGTGATACAGTAATTGAACTATTTAGACCACTTGGCCACCGAGGCACCGGAATTGTATAGCGGTTAATTATATCGGGTGTTCTACAATGCAGAAACTTTCAGTTTTACGACATTTGATTTTCTAACATACCAATTGAGAATGGAATGTATCGTTTATTTTTTCGCAGCTTAAGCAAGTGTGTAGTATGGTGTTTTGCACACTGCTATTTGTATGCCTGTCTTTTCCTTGTTTGACATTTGTGGAGCAGGATCTGCTCATCCTTCCGGAGCATCTGATATCACCCCCGTTTTTGGTGGGGTTCGTGTCTTTAGTTTTCTATGTTGTGTTTTCAATACTGTTGTTTGTCTTTTTCTTTCTTTAACCGTGGCGTTGTCAGTATATTTTCAACTTATGAGTTTGAATGTCCGTTTGGTATCTTTCGCCTCTCATTGGAGGAAGTATTTCATAATTATTGTATATTCTATATGTTACATTATGATGTTGCATCTCTATTTTACGTATTTTTTCTTTGATCTTATTTTGTGATGGATTTTCATATCACGCTTCTCGCTCGACACAAAAAAAAATATCGTCAGAAACTAAGGGCGCACATGACGCTGTCAATGTAAACATGAGCGGCGTCATAGGCAAAAAAGCGATATACATATTAATGGTCTTTCAAAATCGAGTATGTTTCTCGGCCACATCTCATCTAAAGACAGACGCCCTACGATGAGATTGTAGCTGAGAAACACCATCGATAATCTATATGTATTGTACCGTTTAAACAATCATCGTATTTTGACATGACTTGTTTTATTTATTATCATGAATGTGTAGCTTCTGTATTCAGGGATGATTTGATATTATATTTATAAAAAAATATAATGTATGATTCTATTATGTACAATGTCGACAGAGTAGTCATTCCCTGCTTGATGATATCTAAAATTCAATTATACCCTATGAGCATGAACAGTAGCATCAGTGTCTTATAACGAATTGGAGTATACTTTTCCCAACTTCATTTGATTTGGTACACAAAATGTCGCCATTTAAAAATAAAATTAATTATAAAAATATTTTCAAATTTACTATAAAATTGCAATACTTAAATAACATAACTTGAATTACGATTTACGTGCATGTGTTTAATTTATAGGGTTCCTGTCCGAAAGGCGCTCCAGGACCTACGTGTAGTAATAGATGCAACGCCGGACACAACGGAGATGACCGAGACTGTCCGGGTGATCAGTTGTGTTGCAGTGGAGGATGTTGTCGGGATCCAGTTCTAGGTATGTTTAGTAGAAAACTTTTTTAATTCCGGAAATCAATTCCGGGTCAATTGAGAACATGTACATAACTAAAGTTAATTTCCAAGTAAATAGTATCTTGTCACAAAAAGATTACAGGAACATTTAGTACATCATCGATGTTAATTTAGTCAGGATCATATTTTAGGAAAATTAAGTATATCACAATAACATGCAGATACCACCTTCACTAAAATAAAAAAGGCATCTTCTTTAGAATCTTTTGATGTGACTGGTGACTAGCTGTCTCATTGGCAGTCATACAACATCAACATCTGGAAGGCCTGCAGGAGATGTTAAAACTAAATTAAATTAACATGTTTTTAAGCAAATATTTTTAGTGATTTTTTGTAATTGGTGTCTGAATCATGTAGCGTAAGTAACTAAAGATGTATGAAAACGTATGAAAGGTTTACCGAAGAAGCCTCACTGATGTTATGTAGTCCTAATGTTTACAAGTTTAATCTGTAACAGGTTGCATCTTAAATAAAAGTTCATGCAAAACGTTTTCGTCAAATGCGATTGTGTTTTTAAATCTTCAGTAAATTTGTATACATATTTCCTTTTAAACTGTTTCTACAGTTTCTGGTTTTGTTTTCATGTTACGTCACTTTTTTCGGATTTGTGTAGTTTTAGGTGTTCGAAAACATGCTTAATCTCCCAATTTTCAATGAGTGTTTGTCCCCAACTAGGAGTAACGAATTCAGTTGTTGTCGTTTACTTATATATATATCTATATAACATATAAATCTGATAAATGGTTTCCTCTCTTTTAATGTATTTTTAGCTAGGAAGCTATTGAACCATGTCTGTCTGGAGGTAAAATTGGGGTCTTCTTTTCAACTGTTTAACGGGCTACATCATTAGTTTTTTAACAGTGCTGTAACATCTGTGTCACAGTTGACCACGGATACGTCCAAATTGCCGTGGCCATTTTCTCTCCCTCTGTTCAACGATCGTGAAATCACAGATTGAGATTTAAGACCGAACGTGTTCTTACGACGGGTGTTATATTTGAGCAAGATATGCTTACCCGTCCAAAACACAAACTATCGGAAGTCTGCAAAATATCTTTTCAATGCACATATTTCCTCTTTGTAACCCACTTCCAGTACTGTTACATTTCTAACTCCCACTGGCAAAGTTGACCTTAGATGAATTTAGCTATTCTGTGTGGGTCCTCTTTTGTCATATAAATCATAACGTATTTACAACCATGGCTGTTAAATATTAAGTTAAAGCGTCCAAGAAGGTATATCCAGAAAAGATATTTGGACGCATGGAATATATAAAATGTAATTTTGATTAAACTCATCATAGATACCAGGATTAAAAACAAAATACGGAAGACGTGCGTTTCGTCTACAAAAGACCTTACGTGACGCTCGAATAAAAAAAGAGCATTAGGGACCCAAAATTCCGAAGGGATTTACCAAATACAGCTAAGGTAACCTATTCCTTGGGAAGAAAATTCTTTGTAAGTATTGTACATACTAAATTCATTCCTTTGTAGAACCGAAAATTGGTGATTGCCCTGCAGATCCAAAACCAAGAACTTGTCCTTTGAAACCATCCGAATGTCAACTAGATGGTCAGTGTAATGGAAAACGGAAATGTTGTAGATTTACGTGTCGGAAGTTTTGTGTCGATCCAGATGACAAATAATAAAATATTGTAATAGAATAGTTTTTTTTTGTGTCTTACGGTTTATGTATTACAGATTGTATTTTAATTTTCACAGTTGTCTGACGATTACTTATAGTTAAATATACATGACGCTTTTGATTTATTTTTGTTATCGTGCAACTTGTTTTTTTTTTTTTTTTTTTTTTTTTTTTTTGCATTTATGTCGTAGAAACAAAAATACAGACAGCAACTAATACATGTATATAACAGACAATGTTAAACAAAAGACAAGACACATTGTTTTCAATATTCTTTTTTTATTCTTGTATGCCATTGTGTTTTTCCATTGATAGAAATTTAAAAAAAGGGGATGGTTCAGAGGAGGGGTTTTAATTTTTTTTATATGATAACAGATCTTTGATAGTCTATAGAAATAATTATCAACTTTTCTAGACTTGGTAATACTGCATTACTATTCCTCGGTATGTGTTTTCTTTATAAAATTGCAGACGAATACTAGTTTATATTAACTTTTTTACGAAATTGTCTGAAAAGGACTATTTACCGGTTAACATGGTTAATAGTTCCAAAAAGTATTTACTGAATATGAACTATTCACTGGAGGCAAACATTTTCCACTAAAATGACTGTTAGATGGTTAATAGTTTTAGAAACGATTAATAGTTTCAAAACCTATTAATCGGTTAATAGTCTTTTTACAGGAAATACTGGCAGCAAATATTTTTGCAAGCTGTCGGTATCGTTTGAATTTACTCGTCCCCCAAGACTTCCAAATGATTGCTTATCTGCAATTAAATGGTAATGACTGTATTATTCGTTTGTGTATATAGTCAACGACCGTATATTGCCATGTTTATAACGATAACAATGCTTTTCTAGTGTTGTAATTATGACGTAAATTTAGAAATACAGGTTAGCGGAATTTTTACGTCGTCCGCTACAAATTTAAAATTGATTGTTGAACCAACATAATTTATTTGAAACAGTTGAAGGAGCTGTAGTATAAAGAGTACAAACATGCATTGTCTCGAAATATATACCAGTTGCATTCTGTATAATAAAACAGTCATTTACTTGATATGCGGACAAGAGCAAAGTTTATTTTCCAGTAAAAAAGTGTATATTATTAAATAGAGGTTTGTATATCTTTGAACTCTGTATGTTAGCCTTCACATTTCTACTTGTTTTTGCATCGTCAACCATGTGCAGTTCAGTTGAAGTACGGCACAACAGAAGAAAAAAAGATTGCTTGTCGTATTTCGAATAATCTTGCTTTGACGAGTCTTTGCTAATAGTTTCGAACGCCAAATATTTAAAAAGAAATGGTTTTGAACGCCAAATATTTAAATATAATGTGATAATGAAAACCCAAAAGCCCCTTAATAGGACAATCAAAAATATGCATAAAGGAGTGGCAAAATTTACGTAATGACTGTATCCTACAAATTAGCTTGATAAGATGTATAGATACGAAAGGTATGATATGTCATAATTGCTATGTAAATGACATTGCAAATAATTGGAAACTCGTGATTCTCTGATTTAAAGGTGTGTTCTACTATCAGATATCTAAATTTATTAAAAAAAATAAGTAAAACAAGAATCCTGAATTTCTCTTTTTTCTTTCTTGATATTATAAAGTTAATAAAGTAATTGTAATGTAATTGTCGTGAAATTTTGCCTCCGAGCGGTTTGAATACTTTAAGAAAAGAATCTGATGGCAAATTATTCACGAAATCAAAGTACAAAATCAATATAATTTATTCACATGGTTATTTTCGAATATTAAATAAATAAATCAGTACAGCTGACGAAATACAAAATAAAACACTTAACCTGTGTGTCAGTGAATTTTGCCCAACCCGGTATTAAATATTAATTACCTATAAATAACAGAAACAACAATTTTAGCTAAGGACAAATCCCCGGACTCTAAAATAACTTTCAATATTTTAAAAACCTAGATTCCGTTATTTCCAAGTCGCGAACTTCATCGCTTTATGACTTAAAACATATAAGATCATAGGCAATAGTTATTTACTAAAAATATTAACCTTATTAATTCTTTATCCAATATTTAACCCAATTTTCTAAAAGGTGAGGAGCTCAAAGTTTCACGTCCGAGCTCTGGGCAATCTAAACTTTGCTTACCGTTTTGTTTTTCCTCCGTTGATTGACAACGTAAATCACGCCCCGTTTCCCGCTATGCAAATTGTTTCGCGGAATTAATAGCCGTGAAAACAAAGTAAAACAATAATAAGGTCTTTAAGTTTCATCATAGAATATTACCTTATCATGCAATTCAGAAATAATTATATACAACTTTACAATGAGCACATACATTCTAATAATAAAAAGTCAAGAGATTAATGTTTCCAAAGAACGATAACTCAAGCGCAAGAGTTCAAGATGTAGATTGGCGGAATTTTCAACACGAACATGAAACTATGTAAATTGAGTGATAAATATCCCTTTAAAGTAAGTTTCAAGAATACACATAAGTTCCACTTTATTTCGTTTATCATGTCAGTTAAAGAGAACCCGATCAAACTAGTTTCAGTGATTAATATTGTGCAAATTCCCCATAAATGAAAAGCCTTGCGTCAATTTTACAACAGTAATAAACATCGACACTACAAAAGTTTTATTGTCACAGCCACGACTTTGCTAACCTAAACAATATATCAATGTCTCAACTCACCAGCGACATATTTCAGTAGTCTAATGTCTTAAGATACCAGAATAGTATTGTTATCTGTAAATTTACTGATGGTGTCCTATTCTTGATTGTGACATTTTGACTGAGTGTGGATTTGCATTGGCGATTCATGCATAGCAGGAGACCCTTACCTTGTCGGCGCACACGGTCTCGCGCCTGTTACAATTCAGTTCCTTCAGTGTTTGGTTTGATTTGATCATATCTTCATGTAAATCGTATTTCCTAAGCGCCTGTATTTGAAGTGTATATCTCCATTTTTTACTATATTTAAGAAAAAACGTTTCAATGACATAATTTCCTTGGTAGAGAATTGCAGGATGTCAAGTTTACAAAATTTCATCGACAGTTTTATGGGCTTCATCATGATTTGGTTGACCGTTATGAAATTTTTAAACAACAGTAAATTGTTCAAATCTCATATATCGATTACGAAGACTCAAATCAAGGTAACAAACAAACGCTGAGGGAATTGCATAAACTCCAAAAGGTGTAAGATTGAGTGCGTTGACAAAGGAGTTTATTCTATGCATGCATTACCGCTATATCGAATCCACACTCGATTAAAATGTAACAAACGGTAAAATTGCAGACAAGACGACTTATTTGCAAATTTTCTCTAATATGGTCTGTTTTTCGTTTAAACAATCCCGTTCTCTTGACTTTGATTGTCATATTACTACTTAGCGACAGATCACCGATTTTTGACCTGCATGATTGACTCAACGGTTGCAACTTGTGGAACAGGAACTGATTACCCTTACGGAGCACCTGATTAGGAATTCACATCGGGCCTTTGGTGTGGTTCGTGTTTAACAATCATTACTTAGTGCTTTGATATGGCGATTTTTCTATTCGTCATTTTTGTGTTTGGGTATTGTGTTGTCTGTTCTAATTTAACTTATATGTTTCAATTGCCCCTTGCTAAAATATACACTGTTTTTTCCATGAATATATTTAGATGGCCAACAAAATAGTAAATGATATGATCTTAATCTGCCCGAAAACCTTTTTTCTTTATATTGTATGTTTACACATCTGTTTATGATAGGCAAAATTGCTTTTTAAGATTTTCAGATTAGTTTTTACAATCTAAGAAATTGACAGGATAAAAATTATATAATAAATAATAAGTAATTAAATAGATAACAATGTGTCTGACGACTTTCTGTCAATGTGCTTTAGTTATGCCCTTTCTCTAATTCTATAATATAACGTTAAATGGCAATCGTTGAATACATAATCTATGCTAGATTATAATTGGGCATGTTTAATCGTGTATCCACATTTAAGTAATATATTCATAAATAAAATTTGTGATATAGAATAGAGGTTGGAAACGGGGAATGTGTCAAAAAGACAACAACCCGACCAAATAGCAGAAAAAAACAGTCCAAGGCAACCAATGGGTTATAATATGTATATCCCAGCCATCATATGTCATTAATTACAGTTTAGAATGTCACTACAAACACTCGTATATCGACCTAACTGAGACATTTACTTAATAAGAAGGATCATCACCATCAGGAAAAAGAAACGGTCGTTAGGCATGAATTTAGTCAAAATGTTACAATGACAGATTAGAATTAAAATAGGACATATAATCGAGATCGTGTGAACCGACCACGATGGATTTAGCTGTTCACATTGAGATTGTTAATTTTCCTCTTTAAGGATGATTTTGTAGGCAAACTCTTCCGTAAAGGCTTACGAACATTAGTTGCTATAAAATAGACAAGTATGTAAACCAATCAGAATCGATTGTGTGTACAGGGTTGTAGTTTACTACAAAAATGTTGCTATTGGCGTATAATCACTCCCATTTTTTTCACTTTTTGAAACATGCAAATGCTTTACAGGTTTAGCAGTAATACAAAAAAAAAACACAAGAGTGCACAATTAAAATTCCCAAACATTATTGAGTAATATTTTCTTGATTCTCACAAACTTGATCAACGACTGCATCAACTGGTCATGAGGTACTTGGTTTTATTTTTCTTGCTCTTGTACTTGCAATCTCGGATAAAAATATTACACAATTAGCTAATGAACATGCATCCCATATTTTAATTTTGTAAAAACATGAACTAACAGTTGGGAATAAATCAGGATATACTTGAAATTATTTTTTAACCATACAACAGTATAAGGAAAGTGCCTGATGTTCATACTTAATATGATAACAGAAAATCACACAAATATTATAGCAACCAACACCCAAGGGTTTCATTTTCTTTAATATCTGAACGACAAGTTTGAAGTAAAAAGGAAATTTATTATTTTTTTGCTGATGTCAAATTATTAATAAATAAGATTACAAACTGATTGTACTTTAATAAATAGCAACCATGTAAAAAGGCACATGTTACAAATCAGCTTTCTTCTACCTAATAAGTCTAATTAACATATGTATTTTTAAAACAGTTCATGTTGTATTATTATTGTGGAACAAGAACTTACGGAGCACCTGATTA